CCCTTGGTAAACAGGGTTTCACACACACACACACACACCCACACACCCACACGCTTGACACCCTGCGGAAGGACTTGCTGGGCCAAAACAACCAAAATCTCTTTTGCGCTCAGTTCACGCACTGAGGCTTGCCAGCTCTGCTGTTACTCACTCCCCGCTATACAGAGGCATGCGGCAGGAAACAGGATACTCAACCTAAATAGCCGTACCCCTAAACGGCAACCCTACAAACAACTACAACACTGCCCAAGAAAGGACACAGGTGACACTCGATGGGGCTATCAGGATTACTGGGTGGAGGTAGTAGGTTTAGCTACCTTCTGCGCCTGCAAAAGCTCGCGATGAGCCTTCTTGGCCCTGAGGACTTCAGCTTCTGGGGCCAACTGGTATCTACCTAAAGAGAGGATCGCTCTAAGAAGATCGGCTGGACCAGACTTGTCTTTGGTGAGTGCATCGCAAACCATCAACTCAGACGGCGCCCATCTGATCTTAAGGTCAGCCCGCTCTGTGGATTGCTTAATGATTGCAATGTCTACACAGACCCGCTTATCCTGAACACCGGACAAGGACGACAGGCTAGCCACGTGATCGTACAGACTCTTGCAGTCTGTGATGCCTACCATTGGCGTTTTCCGCAGGAGAGGCTCGCAACTGCGCAGGTCGAAAGAGCCGTGCAACGCTTCCGCGAGAAGCAGCGACATCCACTCTGCTTGAGCAGCTGCACACGAAAAGGCTTGGGCTTCGCCGCCTAAGGTCGATGGAACCACCCTATGGAGTTTATAGGATTTCCAACAGAAAGGGCTCCACACTGCAGACTGATTCTCTAACAAACCCCTTTCGGCAAACGCAAGCACGTAGCCTGCTTGCGCGCGCTCACCTTTTGCGTTGCCCCAAGCTGCGTCACTGTGCATACAAATGCACAAACGTTCCAGAGGCACAGACCGGACATGAATCTCAACATCCTTAAACTGACGGCCCTATGAACCAACTGGTTAGCATACAGGAGATCCCTTACCTTAGGATTAGGGAATGCCTGCTGAGACATGGACACTTGAACAGCGATGTCTGGTCTGGTCTGATTTGCAAGCCAGTTAAGCTGCCCCGTTGAGACCACGGAGGGCTACAACCTCCTTGGAGGAGGCAAGGGCATCCTTCTGGCTAGCCCGGGACTTGGAGAGGTTAACAGGTCGAAGGAAGGACGCATACTCTTTCTGATGATAGGAGATCTCGAAGGTCTCAGGGTCTTGAACGTATTGCGCTCCGCAAAACTCACCTGAACCTACTCTCCACTTTCGGTAAGGAAAGCGTTTCTTCAACAGACTGAGAGCATGTTCATAGGCAGCCCCTTCCCCCTGGTGATAAAGTCGTCTACGTGGGCCCCTAGAATTCCAGTGAGAGCAACGGATTCTGGGCAGCGGAAGAAGTAGACGCAGCTATCAAATTGTGAACTTTGAAAACCAGGGCTCTTGCCTCTTGATCAAAGGCCTGCCGCCACTCAAACGGAGCGTCATTCAGTCCATAGACGTTACCAATAATTTCAATGACGCTGTCGGGTTCTACCCCCGGGATCCCCCCCTGAGGTTGGTGTGCGAAGAGAGGACGATATCGTTCTTTAAGGGGGCCTGCTTCGAGAAAAGCCCCTTTTATGTCTCCTAGACACATCCTCCAACGCTTTGAGACCAGGATTTGCAAGAGCAAGGACCGAGACAACTGTGACATGGTGGGCGAATGACACATGCCAGAAGACACCTTGGACATGACGTCTGGGTCGAGATGTCCTTGCAAACACCATCTCGCCTTAACGCGCTCTCCGTCTTCATCCACCTTGTTGGTGATTACGAAGCGGCTTCCAACAAAACGGTCCGGGTACCTGTCCCGGATGCGCTGCGCCTCCGCGCCTTTGTGGACACGGGTCGCGGCTTCGGAAAGCATTGTTTCCCATTCCTCGCCCTTGGCTGTGTCTACCTTGGCTTGCAGGAGAGGCTCGTTGCCAGTACTTCGTATCTAGAACAAACTCTGTGGCTGCTGGACACTCTTGTCGCAGAGCATCCATGGTGTCCTGACAGAACAGGACTTCGCCGGGTTCAGTTGTGAGGGCTTGGCCCTGCGTGGGACTCGGAGGCCCGAAGCTCATCCGGACTGGCAGGTCGCTTTGTGGCAGGCTCTCTTGGACTGCCCAACTCGACGGAAACCTGCCTGGAGCCCCCAGAGGCTGTGCCTAGAACCTTGGGCATGACTTCTTCAAGCATCTCATGATGTCTCCATGAGATCCTCTGCCTGCAACTCTGTGGGTCTACGGATTGAACCGGAACCGGTAAGGGGGCCAGACCTAGGCTTAGGGGGACCAGACCTTACGCGGCGAGCGTAGGCAGGTTGTTCTGCAGGAGAGGGTGGCTCTTCAGGGACACCACTTGACACAGGCAAAGCGGGCGGAACAGCTGCTATCGCCTCCTGCCCTTGCAAAAGCTAGCAGTCAGGCCGGCCTGGCCTGGTTCGGCTACCGGGAGCGGTGGCAGAGCCTCTTCCACAGAGGGTGGCTGATCTGAAGAGGACAGATCCAACAAGCTGATTCTTTGGAAACCCACTTTACCAAGAACCAAAGCAGGGCCATACCACCTACCCCCCCTTAGGCAACCCATTGACCTGAGACAAACTCTTTGGTAACCCTGCGACGTGCTCTCAAAGCCTCTCGCAGAGCTTTGCAATCCTGGCTAGCAACCATAGCTCGGCGAGCCGACAGACGGATCTCGGCTTGACGTCGCAAAGCATGATCGCAGGATGACGCATCCGTGGCTATGATGTCAGGGTTTTCTTGCGTCAGATCTGAGGGGATACGGGGATTCCTACCGAACACAAACTGACATGGGCTCACCCCGGCAACATTGAACATTGTGTTTTTAGCAGACAACGCTTGTGTCACGCACTCTCGCCACGCAGACTCGTCTGTTGGCTGGTTGTCGTGCAAAACTTTCTCGAAAACTCTGGCGAAAAGACCACCGTGACGCTCAACCTTGCCTGCTTGCCAGTGAGCATCGGCTGCAGTGTGTCTTACTCTGGTTCCCTCGCTTTCACAGGCAGAACACAAGGCTTCAGCAAGGTCGGGCTGCGACGGATCAAGAATGAGTTCCTGAGGAACGCCTGCCCAGCTCAGCCAAAACTGCCGATAGGCTTGTCTCAGAGTCTCTGCAGTTTCTCGGGCATAGAGGGGAATTTTTTTGCTGAAAGGAGCTGCCATAATCAACAATGTTAACACAAGGAATCTTATGGTTCGGCTTCCAACCCGGGAGGTACTTCACATCAAGGCCTATACGTTCATTAAACCCTTCTCCCTTGGCAGGCACTGCAGGCAAAGCGTCGCTTGGACGCTTGGTCGCTTCACACGTGGTGCATCTGAACTCGGAAGCCCGTTTGATCGCTTCCTCCGATGCTCCGCTGTTCTTAAGAACTTTGAGAAGGTATGGAGTTTGCGCAAGGCTCTACCTATGGGATCCAAAGGACTACTAGGGGACACCAGGGGACTACCTGGAGAATCCTGAGGACTACTAGCATCGGGAGGCTCAGCGACGGTGTTGCTACCGGTGCTGGGTGCTGACCCAGCAAGGCACTCATATGGCTGGAGATCGATCAGATCTTCCTCCTGAGCAAAGCAGCACAAGCAGTCTTGTTTATCCCTAAGGCCCTAAGGATTGGCTGAAGAAAGGCTTTGACAAATGATGCAGGGTACTGTCCGGCATATTGACTTCTACATACTCCTGTTGATGACCTGCCCTCTATTACTTGATGATTGGCGCAACCAGGGCAAACACGGCACTGGTCCTTCAACGCTTGATCACTCAACAGCAGCCCGGTCGGCTTCTGCGTCCTATGGCGATCTCCGGGGCACTGGAGATTGTAGGCACACATGTCTACCCTAGACTTCCCCAACTTATGGACTAAGGGCTTAAAGGGGTCAAAACGCCACAAACCCGAACTCCAAGGATGTTCGACTAGAAGTCTACCTCCCCGCTTTAGTTGCTTATTGCACTGTTCCGCAGCAAACCGAGCCTGCGTGCTTGTTGCACAAGCTTGGCCCGCTCCAAGGGAGTCATCCTGGACGAGTTCAGATGGAACCAACCACCCCAATGCTTACAGGGCGGGCACACAACTAAGAGGTCTGGCGCAGCACGCTCTAGAAGCCTGTCGACCTCCTTCTGTGTATCGGCATTGGTCAGATCCCAACCCTGAAGTAAATCAAAACTCAACCCTTGAAACCCAAACGCTCAGCTTCGGTCTTAAACCTTGGGGGAGAAAACAGTTCAGCAACTATAATCTGGCTATCCCTTTGGTGCTGCGCCCTATCTTGCTTCTTCCACTGGTTGAGGATTTGCCTGGTGATCCGCTTATTAGCCTGAATGGTAGGGGGACCTATACCAACCTTTTGGGGGATATTAGGGGACTCACCCTTTGAAGATTCCTTACTATCCTGCTGCACGGCAAAGGATTCTGCAATGGCAGATGCTGCTCCCGTCCTAGCCTGTGATACGGGGAAGTCCACGAGCCTGAGAAGGAGCTGACCAGCGCTGTTCCGCTCCAACGGCACCCTGGAGTCCTGGTCTAGGATCTGGGCCTCACCCTTGGCAAACTCCACGCTCATGCACAGCTTTTGCAGTGTCGGGCGTCCAAGCATGCGGGGCCTTCCCGCGAGTGCTCGCATACCGTTGATGGCCACTGGGATGCACTCCTCGGCAGCTCCCACGAAGTAGATCTCCTCCTCGACGTTCTCGGGCTGGGCCAGCAGCGTCTCCGCCGCACGGTTGTCCTGCAAACTGGAGCTGTCTGAACCGGCTCCTTTGCCAGAGCTCTTTCCAGAGCCCTTGCTGGTTTGCTTCGACACTCCTTCTCTAGCTTGCCGCAGCGGCGGCAACGTGGGCGCCGCTTGAGCTCTTCAACTTCTATTCTGAAGCTGCGGCGGGCTTGGTCGGCAGCCCCAAACTTTCGGGACTTCTGCAGCTTGCCTATCTCGGCCCTGCGCTCCTTCCAGCTGACCGCGAGCGCTTCGGCAACGTCGCCCTCCGAAAGGGGGTCCTCCTCGTTGACCGTCTGGCCGAAGTCGGAGAGGAAAGCCTCGACATCCGGGAAGTCGTTCGTCTCATCGTCCTCGGGCGTGTTGTCGTTCTCCTCCGCGATGAAGACAGAAGTCGCCCTTCTGGACTTTGAGCCGCCAGCGCGGTACGTGGGAAAGCACGAGCGAATGCCCGCGCTGACCGTCTCCAGGTCCAACTTGCCTTGGGTCTTTGCCTTCACTATGGCCTTCTGCTCTTCGGACAGGCCAGCGCAGTGTAGGGCTATCCAGCCCCTTGCTTCCACAGGGAAGTCCACCTTGGCCTTCCGCTGGCACTTCTCGAAGGTCTCACGCACTCGGGCAGTCCACTCCTTCATCGCTTCGCCATCCTGAGTGGCGAAAACTTCTCCGAGTGCCTCTCCCATCTGGTCGTGGACCTCCTTCTGGAAAGCAATCCTCGAGCAGAGTCCAGATGGTCTTGTCTCCACCATCCTTGTTCAAGGGTGAGGTGTTCACATGCCTCCAAGGCACGACCATCCAACAACGTGAACAGCCACGGGCCGCGCTGCTCCTTGGACAAGTCTTTGACAGTGATCATCCGTGCAAGAACCCATGCCTTCCACTTCTTGAGGGCTTTTCCGGCGTCATCATCGTCGCCGGAGAAACGTTGAAGGTTGGAACTCCGTTCCTCCGACATGGCTCGTGTCGAAAGACCTTCCTACCTAGGAAGGGTAGCACCTGGAGCCCTGGCTATTCCAGAGCCCCGCTACCAATGTCGGTAGCAACCCGATCAAGCCTCTGATCGGCCACCGTCGCCCCTTTTTGGGCACCTGAGCAATCAGGTTCCTGCGGCATGTCCATGTCGTGAGAAGTACCTGGCTGGCTCGTGTCGACAGGGTTTAGGGTGCTTTAGGGCTTAGATATAAGAATCTCTCAAATAGTATTATGCGGGAGTTATACAGGGAGTATATTGGGATATATTTGGCTTGCTTAGGGGATCATTTTTTTATCCTCGTAGGGGTCTGGGTGCGTCCTTGCATTGATCGCATGTTTTTGGTCATGCTGCACCCGAAGGAGCGATAGACTTGAATGCCTGGATAACCAAAATCCAAAATCCTTCTCCCGGTTCTACCCCGGGTGATCCTCCTTTTCTATGCAGAATGCCTACTCTGAAGCCTATAAAGTCTATACAGTGTACCCTTTTTGAATTATTTTCCCCAAGGTATCCTAAACCCTGAATCCTAAACCCTAAACCCCAAACCCTACACCCTGAATCCACTATCCTAAACCCCAATCCCCAAAACCTACACCCTAAACCCTTGATTCTAAACCCCGCACCCTAAACCCTTAATCCTAACCCCCAAAACAACCAGGAAGTTGACACCAGGTGATCGCCTACGCGAGATTGACTCGCAGATCGCCAAGCCCTTCTTGCGAAGACTCTTCGCCTCGGCTAGCGGATCTGATTGGTGCCTCACTCAAGCCTTGACCCCCTAAAGGATCCCCCCGCAAAATGGCTCAAGGTTTAGGGTTTAGGGTTTAAAGGATCCAAAAAACGGACCCCTCAATAAATGGCTCCATTACTACATTGTGGAACCTAGGGGATTATTCTAGGGTACCATTTTTGGGATCCTTTAGGTGGTCTGGGAGCGGGGTTAGAGTTAAGAGTTAGGGTTTAGAGTTAAGGGTTGAGGGGTTTAGGAGTTTAGGAGTTTAGAGTTTAGGGTTTAGGGGGTTGGGGTTTAGGATTTCGTGTCTAGGGTTTAGGGTCTAGGGGTTTAGGAGTTTTGTGGTTTAGGGTGTTATCAAATGCCCTAAACCCCACACCTTAAGTTATAAGTCAGCTCCCATTCTCTCTTCCATTCCCCTGCATACCCCCGTGTGAGCACTTTTGGGGGTGTGGGTGTTTGTGGTAGTCGTGACAGTAGGCAACGAAGGCAGCAAGAGGCGTCAGCGTATTTTTTTTTGCAAATGTAGCGAAAGCATAAACCCTAAACGGCCCAAACCCCAAACAGGCTAAACCCTAAACAGCTTAAACCCTCAACAGCCTAAACCCTAAACACCCTAAACCCCAAACACCCTAAACCCTTAACAGGCCAAACCCTAATCAGCCTAACCAGCCCAAACCTGCAGCTTGGACTTTGAAAAGGTGCCGGCTCGAGCTGCATGAGCCCCGGCCCTGGGCTCCGGTGGACTTTGCTCCGACTGGTCTTCCTGCAGTTGGTACTTCTTATTTAGGGTTTAGGGGTGAGGATTTACGGGTTAGGGTTTTAGGGTTTAGGGGTTTAGGGGTGAGGGTTTAGAGGTGAGGGTTCATTTTCCAGTTTTTTTACAGGACCGTCTCTCCAGAGTCAAATAGGGTTTAGGGTTTAGGGGTGAGGGTTTAGGTTTTAGGGTGTAGGGGTGAGGGTTTAGGGGTTAGGTTTTAGGGTCTACTGGAGAGAGGCATTGGAAAACGTGTATTCACAAGCTCATGAAATTGCACAGAGGTTTTGTGTTGCGTAGTGTACAGGTCAGAACTAGATCCAAGCTACTGTAGCATAGTTGCTTTTCATTGGTCTTCCTGTACCATGTACTCAGAGGCCCTGCACCCTAAACCCTAAACCGCGTGTGTGTTTTCTAGTGCCGGGCCGGGCCCATCAGGGAGCATGAAAGAAAGAGATTGTCGGACCTTGACCTTCTGGTGCCGTTTAGGGTTCAGTGTTTAGGGTGCAGGGTTTCTGGTTCAGGGTGTAGGGCTTAGGTTTCAAGGTTTCTGGTCTAAGGCTCAGGGGTCCTTATAGACACTGATGGGGGTTGTAATGGGATATGTAGGGATGTATAGGGTTTAGGGTCTCCATACCATGTGTTTTTTTTCTGGGAGTCCTTTGGCAAGGTGCAATATACTTCGGGGGTTTATAAGTTTGGCCCTTTACTTCATCATGGCACTGTAGTCATATCCTGTCTGCATATGATGAGTTCTTGCGCTTCCCCTAGACCCTAAACCCTAAACTCCCGGACGTTCACCGTTCCAACTTTCCGGTGACTAGTACGGAACGAAGGACTGGGCGAGTTGTCCAACATTAGGGGTACACTTCTGGGGGTTCCCATTAGAAGGATTGTAGTATTTTTGGGTCTAAGTTGGGGTCCCTGTATTTTGGAAAACTACCATATAGTTTCCAAGGACATAGTAGTTTGCATTTTCTTTTCTTTCCCTAGACCTTAACCCCAAACCCTGACAGTCCTACGTAGGCTCCAAGCTCTGAAGCAGTTTTATCTTCTGATCTTTTCCGTTACCTGAACCATAGACCCTAACCCATAGCAGTTTTCCATCTGGGTTGGCCATTGGGATACTTAAACGTTTTCCCTTATTGGTTTAAAAAAGGACCCCATATACACTAATATTTTTGGAAGGACTTCGAAGGCCAACCAAGCCATCTTCTTTATGCCGTTGCCCTAAACCCTAAACCCTAAACCCTAAAGCCACCCTTGACCCTAAACCCTAACAAGCAAAGCCCTAAGTCAAGGTGGACGCAAGAAGTGGAACTTCCACCACCAGAGGCCGGCTTGTAGGCCTAGTGCTGCTCGGCAACTGCTACTGTAAGGGCTTAGGGTTTAGGGTGAATTTCCTTCCCCAAACAAGATGGAACCTGACATAGGTTTCTCAAAACCAGTTATTTTTCTTTCAAGAAGAGCCTATATGGGCTTCCATATTAGATAGGGGGCGGGTAGAGGTTTTGTTCACTTTCAGGGTTCGCTTTCTGGGAGGCTTGGGCTTTTGTATCCCTTGCAAGCCATCCACATTTGGAGGCTCCAGACCCCGAGTGTTTTGCAGCTGCCCTGATGCAGGTCTGGGTGCTGTTGCTCCTCTTGTCGCGATCTCATCACAGCAAGTGATACACCAGAGCACCTATTCAGAAGCCCCCTTGAGGCCCCAAGTATATAAGCCCTGAAATTATATGTTCAGGAGATACCTCGACACTTTGCACTCCCCTGTTGCAGAGGCCAGCTGCAGGCTTTTTCTGCAAACAAGGCCTGAGTTGGTATTGGGGCCCAATAGGGGCTTTGTGTAGCTTGCATTGTAAGTAAATGGGGGCTGGAAGGGGATTTATTGGCCATGAATTGGGCTTCTACAGTAGGTCTGTCTGTCTCTTGTGCTCTCTCCGTCTCCCTCGCTCCCCTCTAGTTGCTCAAGCTCGGTTTGGAATGGGGAAGTGGATCGAATGAGAGGAGAGGAGTAGTCCGTACAAAACTCATCCCATTCCCAGATAAGCATGAGTAAGTCTCTCCCTCTCTCTTTCTGGCATGCAGGTCTGGGTGAGGGCGTGGAGATCGTCCTGCAGGCCTGCGCGTGCAAGCAGCGTCCTTCACAGGGGCTTCTTCTCAGATTAATCCCCTTCCCCGAATATCAACCCAGTTATAAACACCTAAACACTTCCAATATATTATATTGTAAGATACCACATTATGCGGAGTATTCATTTTTAACTAGTGGGGGTGATTAATAATATTCGGGGGAGGGGACTAATGTATCCAGGCCCACCACAGCAGACCGAGAGACAAGGGGATATCGTGGGATGGGACGGGGACGTACATTGGGGGGATTTGTCCAAATTCACGATAATTTGTGCGGGTCCGTGTATGAATTTCATTATCTTGGAAAGAGTAAATCAGGCCAATTTCACATGAACAATTTTCTTTATTGGGGGGGTTGGAGTATCGACCTAGTGGAGGTCTTCATTTGCATGCATACCCCGCCCGCGAAAGGATCCCTGATTTTGTCAAATTGCTGCAGAGGGGCTTCAGGGGATATAGAGGGGACCTTTCGTTGGGACCAATGTAGGTTATGGGGGGGCAATATGGGGACCACCTGGATACGTAGGGTGTATGAGAATGATACAAGGGCTATATGAGGCGATAGGATTAGGTGTCCCTTCTAGGATGCCCTCCGAAGAGCATTTGGAAGGCAAGAAGATTTGGCCTCATAGCAACACAACGATTGGCGTTCTTCCTGCGTAAGTCTATTTGTGCTAATTGCCCAAACCAAAATATTTTTCGAGGCGTATATTCAGCAACATGAGCCCAATTATTGGATACAAGTTTTAGTTTGTGTTGCCGGTGTATGGAATTCTATCTTCCCAGTCTCCGAGAAGGGACCCCGTAAACTCCTGCATAATCACACCTTCCGTTTCAACTTCCCTTCTTCCGTTCTATGGCATTCTCCTTTTGTCCTTAATCACAGAAACCAGCATAAACCAATATAATTTTGCAACCGCTATATATGTCCCTTTCATTTCTCATTATCTTTTCAATGTGATTCTCCATTGTTGGTTCCCTACTAGGCCTTAACCTTAGCCCGAAACCCTCGATTATTCATCTTCTTAGCCTGCAGGACCATGAGGCCTCTGGAGCTTGGCAACCAGCAGCCTTGCGTCTGTTGGCCACGCTCTGCCTGGTAGTGTTTTGGCATGAAAACAGCACTCACCTTAGGATTTCTGTTTTTTTTTGTTATAGGGTAACCCGGAAGAATTATCAGACATAGTACTTTGCCAAAAAGGAATTAGGGAAATAACAGAACAGGAAGGTTTTGGGAGTTTAGGGTGTTGGGGTTTTAGGGTCTAATGTGCTTCCTGAAACATGAAACGACAGATTCTGGCTCACAGCAGGGCGATTCATGTTGGGGACGCTTTTGGCTGGAGTACCTTAACCCTAAACTCT